AACAACTTATTTAAAGGAAACACACATGCGCACACACACACATACTCTCTGTCTTTCTCTCTCTTTCTCTCTCACGCTCTCTCTCTCTCTCTCTCTCTGTCTCTCTCTCTGTCTCACACACACACACACACATACACACACATCGGTATCACTTTGACCTTATTTGTGCCAGGATAACTGAGCATTCCTTCAAATAGCTCGGGATCTTGTTCAAGACTTTATCATCACCCTGTCGTTCCTCCAATACATACTGAGGCTTTGCAGTTTGGAAATGCACCGCAGCATTTCCCATGAGGTGAAATTTTCTAGATGTGGTTCGATTTTCTCACATTCCCAGTTAGCAGTCATGATGGAGCGCATACTTATAAACTACAAGCGTGATGGGGATACATTGGCACTGATTCATCTAAAAAAATTCAAGACATATTTAATTTTGCTCTTAACTTGTGAAAAAATGGTTATTTCTCTCCTGGTGAATTTCATCAGATGATTTTCTACAGCATGGCACTCTATCCCTGGCTGTATATCAGCAACCCCGTGAGGCTGCTTACACATACAGATGCCCAAGGCCCTGCTGCCAGAAATTCTGAATCTGTAACTGCTATTTGTATATTTAAAAGCTTCCCAAGTAATGCTGATGGGCAGCCAGGGTTGAGACATGCTGTTCCACAATATGTCCACACGTGTCTTCTGTAGGAGTGGACTGTAAAGGCAAGATTATTCTTAAGTTTTGCAGGCAGCAAGCCAGTATTGAGTCACATTTTTACATCACAACAGTAGAGAGGGGGTTAGGGTAACCACAGAGGACAAGGGTTATGAGCTGTTCTGTCGTGCAGCACATGTCACGGTGGTCCTCATCTTCACCTGCCGCTTCTGCTCGTATTTCAGTTATCTGCTGCCAGATGGGACCAAGTCCTTCAGCTGCTTGGTCATCTTGTTCTTTGGGGTACACTGTTGAAGGAGGCAATAGAACTCCAGCCCCTTCTCTCTTTCCTTGCTTTCTGGCTACCATGAGGTAAGCACCTTTCTCACTGTTGGCCAGGGTATAGCACAGACTCCAAAGAAATGGGGCTGATAAACCATGGACTGAGACCTTCAAAACTGTGAGCCAACAGAAACCATCTTCTGGAGACAGGATCTCACTAAGTTGTCCAGGCTGGCCTTGAATTTGTGATTCTCCTACATCAGCCTTCCCAGTAGCTGGATTGATAGATGTGCACCACCACCTGACACCTTTTTTAAGTGGGATGTCTCAGGTATTTTGTTACTGTAAGGAAAGCTAATTCCCACACTTACTCTGCATTGAGAAAGCAGCAGATGTTGGTGACTGGGGCTGGCAGCTGGATAGTGTGTGTGTGTGTGTGTGTGTGTGTGTGTGTGTGTGTGTGTGTGTAAGAGAGACAAGCAGTCTAGCCGTGGGCAGTGTTCCCCACAAGCCCTACCCTTTAAAGGTTCCACCAATTCCCCATGGAATCACAAGTTACCAAGCAAGCCTTTAGCTCATGGATCATTAAGGAACACTCCAGACCAAATAATAGCAGTAATTTAGCTCTTACTCTATCCAGAGTTTGCTCCATTACAAATCTTTCCCTATCATTCCCCCAAACACTATCAAAGTATTAGATAATCCAGAAAGTAACCATTTCTCTCTAAGAAACTTCACTATCTGCTTCTAAACTAATTTTCTGTTTTGGTCCCCAGTCGCCCAACAGAGATTGGTCTGAACAGATAGCTATCTTTGAAATCTGCAAGCTTCTTTGAGCTCTTGGACAATAAATTAAAACAAAGAAATCCTATCACAAGCCACTGGGGGAAATCCCCATGCCTTATCAACTGTATATTAAGATCACTGAATGTGACATTATATGAACTCTATTTTTTTCCCAGTTTTTGTTTTTATTAGTACATGTCTGTAGCACATAATGTTTTAACATTCTTGTACGGAGTGAGTGCATGTATATAACACATCTCAGTTCTTTCTTCATCCCCTTTCCTTCCCCTGCCCACTCCTTTTATCTTTTGAGCCCTTCCCATTTGAGAAAGATCTAGCTCCCTATTTCCTATTATCTTCTTTTATTCTGCTCTTTATCTATACCTCATCACATAATATTCAAGCTTGTATGTCTGATGTATTTCACTGAAGATTATGGTCTCAAGCTTCAATCATTTTCCTACAAAAGACTTAAGTTTATCTTTAGAATACAGCAGCACGCCTTTGTATGCAAATACCACATTTTCTTGTCCATTCATCTGGTGATGAATATATAGGCTGTTTCCAAGATTCACTTATTATGAATTGTGCTATTATAATCACAGGTATGCAACTATCATTGTGATATATTTAACTGTCTGGAAGATACCCAGAAGGGAAATAGCTGGGTCAAACAGAATTTCTACTTTTAGTTTTCTGAGGAATCTCCATACTGATTTCCATACTGGTCGTACCAGTTTATAGGTCCACTAACATGTGGGATTCTTTTTTCCCTTTAGCTTCACCAGCATTTGCTATTTGATTTCTTAGTGATAACTATTCTTTCTGGGATAAGACAGAATCTCTGTGTTGCTTTAATCTCAGTGTTGTATTTTGCTAAGGCCAATGAAGCCTGCTTAAATGTACAATCCAGCCCATCGACTGAAGCAAAGAAAGTAGATAGTCACGTGGGGCACAAGGGCAGGCCCCAAGCCACAATAACACAGTGAGTGACACTTCTGTGGCCACCTGGATAATCCTTCCAAATGAGCCATGCTTCCCTCCTGCTCCTGGGGGGACATTGCTAAGATTTCCCATTGAGTCTCTCTCCAGAAGTCATCATTAGTTTAAAGATAGCTGCTCCTCTGAACTCTGCTGTCACAGTCACATGCCAGGAAATTTTGACAGCTGGCTAGAGGGTGGAGGAAGCAGACTGGTTTGTAGCTTGCCAAGGTACTAAGCCTCCTGCCATTGCAGATTCCAAGCTACAACACAGAGCAGCCGAATGGAGAACTGGGGAGAGATGAAGACCAGCAACTCCGCACACTGCTAGGAAAATGCCCCCTGAGTCACTGGGGAATGCAGGGGACCACAGTTGTCCTTTGTCTGGTCAGGGCCACTCTTGCTTCTCACCTCCTGGTAGACTCAGCCGAAGTGTTAGCTGCTTCCCCACCTCACCCCAACCCTTCCTCACTGGCTGTTCTGTAGTGCTGTCCCTGCAGGGCCATCAGAACAAAGACTTGGTCCCAGAGTCTGTTTCTGGGAAAACCTGGCCTTAGACAACTGGCTGTTTCTGGGCTGGATAGGTCAAAACTGGTCCTGAAAAGTGCCAAACCCCAGACGGATTTTATGACACCCACAACTCCAGGAATATCGGCAAAAGGGCAGTTATTCAAAGGATTGAATACCTGGTAGGGCGTGGGAATCTGGGAATCAGAACAGAGGCCAGCCATGACCAGCCAGTCCACCTGGATGACTGTCGCCAGCTGAGTGTCACTCTGGATGTCAGCGAGCAACGTTGCAGCTATGAAGGCGATATGAAGTGGGGTTCTGAGCAGCTGGCCAATTCTGTCCTACAGAATTTCATTTGTTGGATAAAGTCGAAGTGCTAAGACAGACATGCTGTTCACTCTGTTGTATGCCCGATCACGGTAAAGTACTCGATCAATGTCTACCTCTCCATGGAAATGGGCATGACTTCCTTGATTGTGTTGGGCTCTGTCTCTGTTAAATCTATTGTTTTTAAACAATGGTTTCTCACCTAGTGACTGGTGTGATTTTTACACTTAAGGGGCTGCATTCCAAAAATCAAACTGAAAAAGTCAGTGTAAAACAGAATTTATTGTGAAGAATGATTGCAAATTTACATTCATGGGTAAAACCAGGGGAAAATCAGGTTGTGTGGGCCCTGAAGCTTATATAATTTTAAAGCAGTTTTTTAAGAAGAGGGACACAAAAGTTATAAAAATAAGCTAGGCAAGATGGCACACATCTGTAATCCCAGGACTCAAGAGGCTAAGGTAGGAGAATCAAAGTTCAGAGCCAGGCTACATCATGAGTTCAAGGCTGGCCTGGACTGCACAGTGAGGCTGTATCCCAAAATAATAAAAATTATGTGTGTGCCTATCTATTTAATAAAAAATATTACAAATTTTGAAAAGTAACAAACACCACAAATATCACAAAAAATTTTTCAAAAAGTTTTTTTTCTAAGGGTCTAATACTAACACAACCCTGTAACACTTTTTGGCAACAACTTTTGGTGATATGCTCTTTGATGATATCCATTTGTAATATTTTGCTGCTGAGAATGCCAAGATAATTCAGCCTTACCCTACGAGGCTGATCCAATCTTTTTTATTATTGATAGTTTAGAAAAATTGCTTTTAACTTCACAAAGTTAATTGCTATTAGTAATAATCCTGTAATTACTTTAATAAGCAGTCATATCATTGGGAAATATATACCAGTCTGGTTTATCAAGCTGGCTAAGATGACAGAAATGCCATAAAGACTAGAAAAAAATAGTTTCAAATTTATAAGTGAGGCATTTTTGGAAGCATATTTTGCATATTCACTTTTTAAAAAACAACTAATGCTGTAATACTGGGAAGAAGGTGCTTGGAAACCAAGTCTCTATGCATTCGGAGGTTCATGACCAACTCATTACTGATTTTTTCAATTATTTCACATTGATCAATAGGTTACCTGCGTTATTGTGAGCAGAGCTCAGGTTGAGACAGAAGTACACCACGTGCTTTCCCCTCATAGCCAGAAACCATTTCTCCCCACTTCTCCCGCTCTCCTTCCCTCCCCTAAGAGTCTGCTGCACCATCGTTAGGCTCAGGTGGCCACACACACCCACATCAGAACATTAGGGAAACTCAGCAAACAGCTCTCCCTAGAGGATCCACAACTCTGTGTAAACTATGTTTTTTTTTTTAATTTGAGAAATTGCTTTTACAGAAAAATTCTCCAACTTGTGGACAGAAAACCCGCCGGCGTTTATCTGGACAGAAGAATCTCTCACCTCATTTCTCTTGCAGCCTACGAGTGGCTAGTGGATAATTTTCTGTTGTGGAACTTGTGTCAATGCCTTATTATTCCCTCTGTAATTAAAACAGAAGAATGGGGCTGAATAATAAAGACAAATGAAAGGAGCAAATAATATTGTTATTGTACATGCTAACGATGGTTTTTGCAACACATCTGAATACAACCTGTCCTCCTATAGGAAAACAGAATAAACCAGCTAAAATACACAGAGGTCTTTTAAAAAGAGTGTTTATTATTCTTTCTCACTGCCCAATATCGGAGCTATTTCTTACATGTAACACTGCTCTCACCTGCTATGGTTTGCATAAGCTCCCCCAAAGGCAGGTGTGTTAAAAGGTTTGGTCACCAGCCGCTGGCACTGTTGGGAGGAAGTGGACCCTACAATAGGCAGGGCTTAGCAGGAGGCAGCTGGGTCATTGGGCGCTCCCCCATGGCAGGTAAGCTCAGCTCCTTCCTTGTCCTCTGTCTTTTATACACAACCCTGTACTGTGAGCCTATGGTTTTTCCACCACAGGCCCAAAAGCAATGGAATCCACCAATCATGCACTTATACCTCCTCAAATGTGAACCCGAATAAACCTTTCCTCCTTTTTAGTTGATGATCACACAGATTTGTTACAGTACAGGAAAGCTGCCTAAAATACCCCAGATGGATCCAAGAAGCTGGCTGGCTGTGCCAGATGCTTGATTTTCCAGGCTTCCTTGTGGCCAGCACACAGGTAGGTAATGTCACACACTCCTACTCACCTTGACCCCAAGCACATGAAGAACAGTGAGCATGCTTCTTCTCTCACACCTGCAGCAACCTTGTTTCAGGAGTAAGTCTTCTGGCCCAAAACTCTCTGCCAAGTCAGACTCGCCCAAAAGCAGTCTGGGAGCTAAGGCTTTAAAGACACATCGTTTATTTGGAACACATGTTCAGGAAGTACTGGTTGGGAAGTTAGTGTATCCTAACTAAAAGTTCACTCCTGTGGGCACCTGAGCTTTGTTCCCACTGGAGTCCCTGGGAGATGGGTTAGAACAAGCCCCAGAGTTCCCTCAGTGGGAGTTGAGAAATCTAGACTTCTAGCCCACATTATAGACTAAATCCACATGTTCCTCCCCAATTCCTGAGTCAAAGCCCTGGCTCCCATGTGGCTGTATGTGGAGAAAAGAAGTGATTCAGGTAAATCAAGTCATTAAAAGTGGATCCTGACCCATTCAGTGTCCACAAACAAAAAGAGGTCATCTGAGGAAGAAAGTAGCCATCTAAAAGCCAGGAAAGAGTCCCTCCCTGGAAAGCAAATCCACCAAAACCTTGACCTTGAACTTCCACCCTCCAGGAGTCTGAAAAAATTAAGTTCCCTTGCCCAGGGGGTGGTATTTTATTATTACCACCTGAACTAATACATCCTCTGCTCCTCTTAGTCCTGGGAGCACTGCCACTCACAGCCACTCACTTGGGGTGGTTGGCACACCATCAGAGGCAGCCATTGGGTGAAGAATCATGGCAGCTTTCAGGAACCCTAACTGAGGAGAGGCTGTGGGTGCCCTAGGGCTATGGGTAAGACCATCATGAAACTGCTGCTCTTAGAGTTCTGGGGCAGCAAGAGTGGGTTTTTCATCAGACCAGCTCTGAGGCATTATTCTGATTCCTCCTCCTGGATGCTCAGCCTCATGCCAGTTGCCAGCTCTCCTGGATTCAGCAAGCTGCTTTCTCATTAATCTCTCTTTGTTTCCATTGCTTGCAACTAGAAATAGCCACTGTGCACTCCAAGTTAAATCTTTGTCAGTTTCATCTGTATCTTACCATCCAGAACTGCAACAGCAAAGATACCTGTTTTATCTGAAACAAGGCAAATTCACAGATGACCCAGAAGGGATACCCTTTGCAAAGTGAGTTTATAGTATCTGCCTCAAATATGTATCAAAAAGCCTTAACATTTTATCATGTAACCCAGCACTTCTGTTGCTAGTTAATCTGTCTGTTTAAAAACAAATTGGATAAGAGCTAAAAGATGAATACATAGTCATTTTTCAGAGCACTATAAATAATAGCAAAAAGAATTAGAAACAAATCGAAGGTCCAAAACTAAAGGAATATTTAAATTAATTGTAATACATGTATACGAGGATACTTTGCAATTATTAAAAATGGCATATAAGTACATTTTTAGTATGAAAAAATGTTCATGATGTAAATAAAAAAGTAAGTTGCAGAGCAGTATATTCAATTTGATCCCATTTTTCTAAGAAAAAAATATATACACATCTTGACAAAATCCAGACAGAATATATACCAATATATTAATGGAAGTTACATCTGGGGAGAAAAACAAAGATCATTTTTGTTTTTATCTTATGTATATTTAAATATAATGGTTTAGTCAGAAGCATTAACTACTTACCAAGTTTTTATATCAAAATACTACCTACTCCTCTTCATTTGCAAAGATGTTCTACAGTGTAAGAAAGTGACTACCACTAAAAATTTTACAAATTAATTAAGGAAATCTTCCATAGGAGAAGATATATGAAGACTGTATTTACTAGCTTTCCCATTGCTAGATGTGATACTTGATACAACTTACAGGAGAGGTTTAGTTTGGCCGGGGGTTTCAGATGACTCAGTCCATTGTCTGCTGGCCCAAAGGTAAGACCATCATGGTGGAAGGGGTTATTGGCCAAGCAAAGTTGCTTAGTTTATGGTGGTCTGAAAGTAGAGCAGAAGAACAGCACCAGAGAGGAAGGGGTGAGAGATCAGATCCAGCACCCAAGGTCACATCTCTTCGACCCATCCAGACAGACCCAGAAGCCCCAAGCTAATCAAATTGACACTGTTAAGCTTAACTACCACAAGACCCTCAAGACAACTGACATATAATTTATGCTAGAATTGCTATGGTTAATATCAGCAGAAAAAAATACCAGCAGATATAAAAATAATATAAAGATTATGCAGGAACAATTAGCTATCGAGTATGACTCAATATGGGAATTTATCAGTGCTAAACTACAAACCTAAGACTGTCTTCAGCATCAGTTGAATCAAGATGCTCTGGAATAAAATGAGATCAAAAAGTTCTGGCCAAAAAAAATAGTCATTGGATTATATACAAACATGAATAAAAGCAGTGGATATTACTGATATAACTGCTGTTACAAGAACACTTTCAAATCCTAAGAAGACAAATAAAAAAGTAGCTGTACCAGAAAAATTAAAGCAAACATGTAAGTTGAATACTACTAAATTATGTTCTGTTGCCCTGGCAACTCTAAAGCATTGAGAAATAAGTTACTTGACACATTGTAGAACTTGGAATTTACCAAGGATTACTAATAATTCCAAAGTGATTCTTTCCATTACTTGTCATTTGGCCAAAAGTCATGCATTTAGTGCCCAGTGAGGTAGAAACTGGACTGCTCCCCGCCACCCTTTACCCCCTTGCACCACTCTCATGAGCTCAGATTTGGATTGGGTATGGAGTCCCTGCACATGTAGCCTGCACTCTCCTGCCTTCTCCACTTTTCTCATCCCTGGCAGCCTGCCCTTCATGGACTCCTGTAACCTTGAGCTTCCAGAAGGGCCTGGTCAATGGGGACCTCCTGCAGGAGAACGTAGGTACTTCCTTTCAGCTGAACCAAAGGCTTGACCAAGGCTGCATCCACCAAAGTGGTGGCAAACTTTCCTGGATGGGGCCAGCTGGGATTCCAAAGAAAGAAACCAGAAATACTGGGGTGATCAGGCCATAGCATTTATCAAGGGAGCTTACATAGTGCCATAGTGTCCTCGCAATTGACAGCAAGAGGAGGATGTTCCACCTACGTGTCCAGGTGTGGAGTTTCTAATGAGGATTTAAGAAATTTGGCTCAGGGGCAGGACTAGTTTCTGGGAGTGTTTTGGCAACAATCTAGATACCTTTATCAGCACCCAAGAATGTTCAAGGTCCTGGCTTGGGTTCAAGCCTGCTGGGAAAAACCTCCAGCTGGCTTGTCATAGAAAGACAGAAGAACACAGACCAGGATAGCTGTTCCCTGGCTCTGTCCTGCAGGCTGCCTGCATCTTTCACCTACAGGGGTAGGACAGGAAGCAGCCTCTCCACAGAGATCTTACCCACAAAGGTACATCAATCTAGGTTCTGGGACCCAGCCACCCTCAGCCTAGCATCAGGATACTGCAATTCTGTGTGGAATCTTTGTGAGTCTCCTGTCTTTGTAAATAGTCACTTTATTCATCTCTCTTCAGGTTACTCAATTGAGTATATCATCTTTTTCCCAAAGGGATCCCAATTGATCCATAAGTCTTGTGGAAAGCTGGACCTGCTTCAGGAACTCATCATGGCTTGTTAAGGTGATCAGCAAATTCCATGCCATTGACTAAGGGTCCAGTATGGGTGTAGTTGCTCTGTAATGGTTATTGGCCCCGCCCACATGGTAACACATGGCACTTGTCCACATGAGGGAGGTTTGTCTCTTGTTCAGTCACAGAACAATGAGGGTCAGCATGAGCTGAGAGGAGGCTCCCCACAGCCATCAGGGCCTGGCTGCTTTCATCCAGAATCACTACCATACCTGTGTCCTCAGTGCAGTGGGAGGAGCTGGTACAGGCAGGCACCAGGCCCAGAAGTCAGGTATGTGCCTTCAACCCACATTCCCCAGGCCAAAACTCAGCCAGAGGCCACACCTGACCCCAGGAGGCTGGGCAATGCAAAGTCACTGCATGGCCAGGACGCAGACGCAGCAGTTGGATGAACCACCAGCCAGTCTCTAACTCACTCTGTATCTGCCACAACCCACCTGGCAGCATGTAGCAGAAGCTGAAGCTGAAGTTCTGACTTAATGAAAAAGGGATTCATTTGTTTGTTTTCATGCAACAAGGAATCTGGGAGTAGGCAATTCAGAGCTAGGAAGAAAAAAAAATACCTTCTCCCTTCCTTCTCTGTAGTACTTGAAGCATGACATACATGTGTTCCAGGTGCAAGATGCTAATGGGGCTCCTTAAACAATACCAGATTCACTAGTGTCAGCTGCCCACAAAGCCCACCATACCTCTAGTGACATGAACCAACAAGTGTCATTGCCACTTAAGATCATTTGAGCTAGAATCTCTTCCTCATAGAAAAAAACATCCTAACTAATAAAACCAGATCCTTGGATTCTTCAGCCCAATACATACCCAACTAATGGATTTGACAGCATTTATCTCATTAGACCAAGACACAGGAATAAAATTAACATGAGTTGATGTAACACAGCAGACATCTTTAAGTAGGAAAGCTTGTATTTTTTAAAAAGAAAAATTCAAAGTGAAATCACACAATTAAATGTCATTGTCAGGCATGCCCCCACCCCATTATCCTCGAAGTTTGAGAAGGCCTGTAAATAGATTAAAATTTTTGGTATTAATTATTCCCACTGGTTCTGTAGTCATGCACTAAAGTACTGCGTTTTTAAGTTTCAGTAATTGGACTCCTGAGACTCACAGAGAGGAAGAACATACACTGAGATGTCATCTTCTATTCTCAACATGTGACTGTCATTATCTTCAAACTCAATAATGCTTCTAAATGTACAGGCTATGAATGAGCTACTGTAAGGCTTTAAAATCCTTAGCTTGACATTTACAGCTGTCCTAGCCAGCAGAAGTTAATTTTATCTGGGTTCTACTTACTGTTTCATATATGCCCTCTGAGCTCTTTGGAACACTGCAAAATATTGTGGTATACACACACATGATCCACATCTTGAATTAAGGTTTCTTTGGCATGAGCTGTATTTCACAGATTCAGGGGAAGAAATGACTTAGATTAAGCCTCAAGTCTATATCTGCACAAAGCCATCTGATCATCCCAATCAGCCCCACATAGGAAAGGGAAGTCCCAAGATGAATGGCTAAATTGGTTCATGTGCAGATAAACCTCCTTCTTCAGGAGTCCCTGGCCCAGCCCCTTTCAAACTGTCACTTCCCTGCTGGGTCTCCTCTGGAGCAGAGATGCCACGCCCAGTGAAACAGACTTCCAAAACCTTGCTCAGGCCTTTGGTGGAGGTAAAATTTTGTTATGTAAACTAAGCCGGCCACTGTGGAAGGACAGCCTTTTCTTAGAGAGGGATCCTGGAACTAATAATTATCATTGCATTGATGGAAGCTGATCTGCAGCCAGAGTTTCATTCATTACCACATGGCAGGGAAAAGGCAGGATTTCTCTCTGGAACCCAGGGCAGAAACCTTCCAGAAATGACCTGCCAGGCTATTGTCATTTGTGTTTGCTCTTCTCTGAAGTGGTCCATGCTATAAGTACAAGTTTGTTTTCTCTCTCTCCCTTTCTATCAAAATCTACAGTGTTAAAAATTTTTAACTATTATATTAAAAGACATAAAGACACATTGCCATGAATCTCCCTCACAATCCTGCCTCCTGCTCTAAACACACTGATCCTTCTTGCCACTTTCTGAAGCAGTTCTGGAAGTCCTCTTTCACGAGGATCTAGTTGTACTGCCATAATTGTTTTGATGTTCTCGACTGGTTTGAAATATTTGTCTTTCATGGTCATTTTGACTTTGGGAAAGAACCAGAAGTTGTATGATGACAGATCCAGGACATAAGATAAACACATATTGTAATGTTTTCACCCACCTGCTGTCTAGTTCCTTTTTATTGGTCCCTGAGACAAGATACCTGATGCTCAAAGTTAAGAGAAGGAAAGGTTCTTACAGTTTTTGGAGGTTTCAGCCCATACTCATTTGGCTCCAAGGGGCAGGGTGGCATGGCACCCATCACCCATGACACCTGCAAAAAGCAAGGCAGAAATCAGCAAGAAAGAGAGGTACACCTTCTTCTGCCATTACATCATATCCTGGCTCCACCCCTGGGCGGGTGAAACACTCACACCACCAATCCGAGCGCTAAACAACAAACCAATCACAAACGCTAGATTTGGTCTCATCTTTGATTGCATGAGGCTTGGAGCAGGGCCACAGGAACACAAACCACAACCTGCTTTTCTGTTGCATGGCACTCAGCAGTCATTATATTTTTTTGTCATTTCTCATAAAATCTCTAAAGGCAAGTTCCAGAAGTGCTTCGAAAGTAGCAAGAGTGATGTCAGAAATATAGGGTAGTATTTTGAGGGGGTTATTTATCCATTAGCAACATGCCTTTTACTATGATAATTTTTTTTAATTTAAACATGTGCCGTGTTTTTATCAACCTATGTCTTGGTTGCTTTTTTCTCATTGCTGAGACAGAATATTTGATGCCCAAAATGAAGGAAGAAAAGATTTATTTAGTTCATAGTTTGTGGAGGTTTCCGTCCATAATCAGCTGGCTCCAAGGCAGGGTGACACATGGCAGAGGGCAACAGTTCATGGTGATAGAAAACAGCACAGCAACTAAAACAAAAGGAGAGGTGCATAGAAAGAAGACTCTTTCTGTCCCTTATATTGTATGTAGGCCACACCCATGTGGGTGTAGCACTCACACCCATAATCCCAGCACTGATCATGAGTCATTCACAAAGTCTGGAAGCCCAAATCCTTGACTGCATGAGGCTTTGGGGGAACATCCAGACTCAAACCATAATAGCCTGTATGTAGAATATTTACCATATATATGGATAGGATATACATATACCATATATCCATAAACAATTAATATACTATATGTGTACATATATAGTATATACTTGTAATACATATATGTTGTTATACATCTGAGATAACACTATACTATA